ACGTCGTCCGGACTGGCTCTGGAGTCTACCCAACTTCCTATCCATTGGGTACCGAGGAATCTTTCCCCGGGGGTAAACCGTCAGGGGCGTGAAGCTGAACACTCACCTCCAGTTAGTACCGAGGTAAAAAAAAAAGTGGATCTATACATCAGTTCCCCCATACGCCTTCATGGCATAGTGCTTAATTAGATAACATAGGACAACTTCACTTTTGCCATATGAAAATTTTGTTAGGAGATTTCAATGCCAAAATAGATAAGGAAGACATTTTGAAACCAACAGTTTGGAATGAAATTTTACACGAAATTCGTAACGATAATTAAGTTAGAATATATAACTATGACAAATTAAAATAAAAACTGACTTTAAAATGTACGCTATTTCTACATCATAATATAAAATTTATTTTTAAATCTTCTGACGAAAAGACTCAAATCAAAATGACGATATTTTGATTGATATGAGACGACATTCAAATAGACTTGATGTCCGATCATTCAAGGTAACAGATTATGATACTGACCACTCTCTGGTGGCGGTAAAAGTTAGGGAGAGACTGGTAGTGAGTAAACAAAAAATTAAAGAGATTCGTATGGAGAGTTTCAGTTCAAAAATTAAACAAGGTAGAGGGTAAGAGCAGTATCGCGTTGAAATCTCAAATAGGTTCATAGCTTTGGAAAACTTAGACGCTGAAGTGGATATATAGAGCCTGGGAAGCTATTGGAGAGAATACAAAAATTTCTGCTAAAGAGGGTCTAGTCTATTATGAATTGAAGAAGCATAACGCATGGTTCGACGAATGATGTCCAGATTTGTCAGGTCGAAGGAAACAAGCCAAATAGTAGTGGTTATACGATCAAAGCGAAATGAGTGGGGGTAATCTGAAGAACATAAGACGTAAGATGAGAAGGAATTTCAAGGAAAAAATAAAGAGGGAATTGTAACTGTCCAGTTTATGGGAAGGTCAATTGATGTTTGTGTATGGTTAGGGTTTTGTGAAATTCACTTTCGCCTCACAATTTGGAATTTTCCCCCCTTGAGACATGCAGCAAGTGGCTTGGGTCAAGCTTGAAGCCAGCTGCCCTTTCGTAAATCAGTTAATTTAATGCGTAACAAGGCCGAATTCTTTAGAAATTCTAAAGTTGACAGGGGGAGTCATAAATTTAGCAGTGTCGTTCCTGCTACCCAAAAATCTCAGTTTGACAGCCACGCAGCAGGTGGCAAGGTTCACCCGTAAACTGTACACTAGTGGAGATTCGCTTTCCTAATTGGAGGAGAATGATAAGCAACCTCCCAGTCTGCCCGGTACAGCCAATCATCGTCTGAAGTGGGAGGTCCTTTGCCCGAATTTTGGGTAACTAGGGCAAGTATTTACCATTCAGAGGGTGCTTGGCAAAGAGACTTTGAAAGTTACGTTCACCGGGGGTACACGTGTTCGGATCCCCGTAAACACGCCCTGTGGTAACTATTAAGTGTGCGTCCCCAGAACAGTAAGTAAGCCTACATCCACGAATCTGTGAAGTGTACCCCTACGGTGCTGTTCTATATAATTAGTGCAAATTTAATAAAGACTCCATACAGTTAATTGGTGTTGTGGTGATTTCCCTACGCCTAAAGCCCCACTAATCACCCAAGTCGTGGCCAATCAACACGCTCTGAAAGGAATCGAATTGCTCTACCGGAGCTAGGAGAACCGAAGAAAAACGGTTACAGAATATCTAAAAGAAAAAAATAGTCAGCTTGCAACGAACAGTAAGAACAAGAACATTAGAGACTTTTATAGACGAATAAATGAATTTAAGAAGGGTTACCAATTTGGAAGTGTCTTAGTGAAGGATGAGAATGGTGATCTCCTAGCAGATTCTCACAACAATTTGAAGAGATGGAAGAAGTACTTCTCTCAGTTATTGAATGTACATAGGGTCAGTGATGTTAGGCAGATAGAAATGTATACAGCTGAGACATTGGTTCCTAATCTTAGTCCATTTGAGGTAGACATTGCTATTTTAAAGTTGATGATATAGGTAGCCAGCTAATGAACAAATTCCGGCAGAACTGATTCAAGCAGGAGGTGAAATATTACGTTCTAAGATCCATACTTACTTACTTAGCCATGGAGCTGAGCCCTTCTGGAGGAGCCGCTAATTCTGCAGCTACTCAAGAGTTTCCCAGCATTTTATGGAACCCGAAGGCTCATCACCGTGTTCTAAGAACCATAAGCTAATTAATTCTTTTTTGGCATAAGGAAAAACTACATGAAGAGCGGAAGGAATCTATTATTGTACCAGTTCACAAGAATGGTGATAAAACTGACTGTAGTAATCATCGGGGTGATATCACTACTGTCAGTTTCATAAAAATTTTATCCAATATTTTTTCTCAAGGTTAAGTCCATACATGGGTGAAATTATTGGGGATCATCAGTGTGGGTTTCGACGTAACGGATCAACTACTAATCAGACCGTTTCCCTTCGTCAGATATTGGAGAAAAAATAGGAGCACAATGAGACAGTACATCAGCTGTTCGTAGACTTCAAGAAAGCCTATGATTCAGTTAGGAGGGCAGTATTATACAATGTTCTCATAGAGTTTGGTATGCCCATGAAACTAGTTAGGCTGACTAAAATATGTTTAAACTAAATGTATGGTAAAGTCCTGTAACCGTCCCACTGCTACGCAACTTATTTGAATGTAATTAACTTTATTAATTTGAAATCTTAATTATTCAAAATGAAATGCAATGAACAAATGTAGTGAGACATAGGTCCCTTCTTGTATGTAAGAGTTAGCGTCTTCCCACGCTTACAGCAGAAACAGGAAGACACCCGTCAAAGGTTTATTGGAGGAAAGTTACATTAAAGAATTGCTAAAGCATTCTTTGTGAATTCAATATTTGGCAGCTTGTGAATGCCATAACTTAAAAAGAGTGAAGTTTTAATGACCCAATCCAAGCTTCACATTTGTCAAAATTCTGACAGAAATACGTTGGAGTCAGAAATCCTTAAACCCTTGTAAGCTTTAAACGGAGTGGAGGAATATCTAATTAAGATACTCCTATTTTTCAAATATAAACAATCACTAAAATTTAAGGATGTGACAGAGCAAAGACGCTGAGGAAACAAGGACTTGAAGGTCCGAGTAGAAATCAGTTGTCGAGGCCAGTCACACACAGGGCTCCGTAGAAAGTAGACGCAAGGTTGTCGAAGCCACACACCGGGGCTTCGTAGAAACAGACGTGAAAATCACACACCGGGACTAGTAAGAACCAGACGTAAAACGTCACACACCGGACTCCGTAGGAAGTGGACATGAAGTTGTCGAAGTCAATCAAGCACCGGGACTCGTAAGAACCAGACGTGAAAGTCACATACCGGGAATCGTACGAAAGAAGTAGTCTCACACTCCGGCCCTTGGGAAAATATCCTGGTAGTAGTCAGTTGTAAAGTGTTAACCACATAGCCCGAAACAAGTTTTACTAATAATAAATTTAAACCTAAAGTGGTTTAGTTACAATCGTGTCTCAACAACTATTCAATTGTGAAGTGTTAAACGGTGACTAACAAGTTTTGAATAATAATACCTCTGAATGTGAATGTGCTTTGGTAGTCTGTGTTTTTTTTCTGCTTCTTTGAACGTTGCCCTATAAGGCTCTGAGATAAGAGGATCCAGCTGTACCGAATCCAACAACCTCACCCCCTTAGAAACCAACTAACCCTGAGAAATTTAAACCCAAAAAACCCTGAGATAAAATTTGAATACAACAAAGAAGATCACAATTAAGTAGAAAAAAGAAGGTAGGTGAGAAGGGCTGTTAAAAAAGTGACTTCAAGAAACGGGGGCGAAAGAAAAGGACAGTTATAGTCCGTATAGGTAAATATTTGTCTCATCATTTTCCCATCCAGAATAATCTTGAACAAGGAGATGCTTTATCGCCACTGCTTTTCAACCTTGCTTTAGAATATGCCATTAGGGAGGCCCAGGATAACAATATGGGATTGAAATTAAATGGGACACATCATCTGTTGGTTTATGTTGATAATGTGAATCTACTGGGTGATAATAAGGGCCATGGAATTCGCGCAGACACCTGTCCAGTGTGTACTTCGAGCTGCTTCCTCGGAGGGAAATCTGCCGGGGCGTCAGCCTAACAATTCAAGTGGAAAACAAGAGTAGAGAAATATAAACATTCTAAATGGTAGAAGCTCTTTAGGAGAAAATGATCTTGTGAAGTACTGATATAGAATTTATTAATTTACTTTCCTAATTTGTTGTTCTTGTAACATTTTATTTCGGATTATAAATGTATGTTTTTTTATTATGCCTTGTTACGTCGAACACTTTTTTCTTAGTATGTAAAAAATTCCAAAGCTTTAGTCCCCAAGCGAACTATACCGACCGAGTGACCGTCGCTTATCGGCGAAGTTAGTGTCAACTTTAGCGGATAGAGGGTGTTGCATGGTCAGCGTAACGAAAAAGTATACTCTCAGATTTAAGTTAAGATCTATATTAAGAATCGCGGGGTGACCGCTATTATAGAATAAGATATTTATAAGAATCTGCTACAGAAGGCCGGATGGGCCGTTAATTTCGGTTTTATAAACCGGATTCCTTAGAATATGGAAGCGAATATATTTTGTTTAGAAATCCCTTACACTTTCATTTAACAAACTACACTGTAAACAGAATAATAATCCAATAATATGGAGTATCCGCGAGTTTTGGGAAGTTGCTGAAATATTCCGTGTTTTATCACCTGTGCTTTATCACAGTTCCAGATCAGCCCGTCCACTTGTCGCCGTAATATTTCAGTACCATTCATGAGAATAGTTCGGTCGGCGTGAGGAATGTCCGCATTAAACTGTCGATCAAGTTAGCGCCAAATATGTCGTTTTTGTTTCCTGCCTTTTGCAGCAGTAAACCGATGCCTGCAGGGCCGCTGTTAGGCATAAGAATGCCCGCTACAATTTGGATGAGGCATTAAAGCTAATTGTTTGTTTCAGGTGCGCACTCTGTTCGTCAGTGGCCTGCCGATGGATGCAAAGCCAAGAGAGCTGTATCTCCTGTTCAGGGCTTATGAGGTGAGTGAGTACAAAACACTGGCATGACGGATCTGTAAAGTGTCCTTATCAGATGAGCGCCACACATTAGCATGACGGATGCATAACATGTTCCCATTAGGTGAGCGCCAAACACTGGCATGACGGATCTGTAACGTGTCATTAGGTGAGCGCCAAACACTTGCATGACGGATCCGTAACGTGTCCTCACTGGGTGAGCGCCACACACTAACATGACGGAAGCGTAACATGTTCTCATTAGGTCAGCGCCAAACACTGGCGTGACGGATCTGTAACGTGTCATAATTATATGAGCGCCAAACACTGGCGTGACGGATCCGTAGCGTGTCATCATTAGGTGAGTACCAAACACTGGCGTGACGGATCCGTAGCGTGTCATCATTAGGTGAGCACCAAACACTGGCGTGACGGATCCGTAGCGTGTCATCATTAGGTGAGTACCAAACACTGGCGTGACGGATCCGTAGCGTGTCATCATTAGGTGAGCACCAAACACTGGCGTGACGGATCCGTAGCGTGTCATCATTAGGTGAGTACCAAACACTGGCGTGACGGATCCGTAGCGTGTCATCATTAGGTGAGCACCAAACACTGGCGTGACGGATCCGTAGCGTGTCATCATTAGGTGAGTACCAAACACTGGCGTGACGGATCCGTAGCGTGTCATCATTAGGTGAGCACCAAACACTGGCGTGACGGATCCGTAGCGTGTCATCATTAGGTGAGTACCAAACACTGGCGTGACGGATCCGTAGCGTGTCATCATTAGGTGAGCACCAAACACTGGCGTGACGGATCCGTAGCGTGTCATCATTAGGTGAGTACCAAACACTGGCGTGACGGATCCGTAGCGTGTCATCATTAGGTGAGCACCAAACACTGGCGTGACGGATCCGTAGCGTGTCATCATTAGGTGAGTACCAAACACTGGCGTGACGGATCCGTAGCGTGTCATCATTAGGTGAGCACCAAACACTGGCGTGACGGATCCGTAGCGTGTCATCATTAGGTGAGTACCAAACACTGGCGTGACGGATCCGTAGCGTGTCATCATTAGGTGAGCACCAAACACTGGCGTGACGGATCCGTAGCGTGTCATCATTAGGTGAGTACCAAACACTGGCGTGACGGATCCGTAGCGTGTCATCATTAGGTGAGCACCAAACACTGGCGTGACGGATCCGTAGCGTGTCATCATTAGGTGAGTACCAAACACTGGCGTGACGGATCCGTAGCGTGTCATCATTAGGTGAGCACCAAACACTGGCGTGATGGATCCGTGGCGTGTCATCATTAGGTGAGTACCAAACACTGGCGTGACGGATCCGTAGCGTGTCATCATTAGATGAGCGCCAAACACTGAAGTGATGGGTCCGTAACGTGTCATCATTAGGTGAGCGCCAAACACTGGCGTGAAGGACCCACAATTGTGTCTTTCTTATTCACATGATCAGGCTGGTATTATGAAAACAGATCCTAAAATTTCAAGGCCCATAATACATGTACCAAATTTCTCTGTTGGACATTACCCTGACGCAGTCAAACTCACCCCGAAATCCATCTCCCTCAGATCTTTTTTCATGTTATCCTTCTCTCTCTTCTCAGTCGTCCAGTTCCACCTCATGCACTCCCAGACTTCGCTGTTCTCACAATAGACCTTCTGCGTGATTCGTACAGTTCACGAATTTAGTTACACAATATCGCTATTTTGTTCAGTTAAACTCTCATATCGTCCTGCGGGTATGCACCTGCGCGGCTCGATAACCCCAAAACAAAATTGCCTTCTATTGCTGGATTAGAAGCTTACATTACTGAAATGTAACGTTAACAACCAAGATTTATAACACTGAAAGTGTAATTACAATTCGAAACAAGGAGAATAAATGAAGGTTTATCTAAAGAGCATTAACAAAACAACTACATTGTGCATACTAGGAAAATGCGCTTTAATAATCTTGCCCGGAACAGTTTATATGTGTAGTAGAGGAGAACTAATTATTAATTCTGGCCCGGTCACTTTGGCTGTCCAGTAATGTACCAGAGTTTACTTAAATTGACGCTGGGAACAGGAGCTTCCTCTGGATACAGCCCATGTTAGAGTCAGAGTTACTTTACGTCTGGCGGTTTGCCGCCATTCAGTTCGTCTTCGCGACAAGCCCCTTGAGACCCACGACCAGCAGTTTTTTTTTAACTGAACACTTACATTCATATTCTGACGAGAGGATGGGCCTGTCGTTTACAGTTTCTTCTGGTCATCGCCAGCGCAGTCATTCTCAGGTCCGAGTCCCGCGAGACTCATGACCATATTTTACTGTCTCGGATTCGAGACTCCCCCCAACCTGGAGGGTCAAGTCCCCGTATTTATATACCCCAAGGATAGGGTGGCCCAGTTACACTCCTAACACTGAGTTCCATTTTCCTCGCCTCCTACGAATCGCAGGATAAATATGAACGTAGCACTAAGCTTCTTTTCAAACTGAAAGGATGACGATGGATAGAAGTAAAAGGAAATAATTTTTATAAAAATATAATTTATGCTTTTCTGACAGTTTTCTGGCTGTAGGGAAGGGAAATATGACACGTCTGTTTCTCTTTGGGGTTTTAATATATCTCATTTTCTCCTTCTGCAGCATCCGTCATCATAAGGTTAAATACCACGGGGTTGCAACGGGCGTGAGCAATGTGACGTGCAGCCAGGCCTCTCAAGTACATGGACAAAGTAGGTCATGACACCCACGTCTTTCAGCCAGACAATTTCGTAATTGAATATGAACAAACGCGCAAAACAAACAGTTTAATTGCGTCTGCATCCAGTTTACACCTAAGCTGACCTCATTACTGATTACTCATTTATGTATATAATTATAATCGAAGTAAGCAAATATGCTTTGAAACCTCGTGGACATTGTATGAAAATATTTCTTCCCAAGAATGCTTTCATGTCTTACTGAGGACTTCAGTACTTAACATGAATGATTGCTTCCTCTGTAACTCTATATTTGAAATGTAAATTATGCTATTTGATGATTGATTAGCCGAAAACAAACACTCTTCATTTTTCTAGAATGGAGAAAAAAGGGTCAGAGGTGGCCCGCGGTAGTGTAGTTGCTTGAGGCACTATGCTACAAGCAGGAAGATCGCGGTTTCGATTCCCGATGGGGTCACTGCTTTTTTCAATTGATTTAATCCATCCAACCGTACTATCGGCCTGGGTTTAACAGCTTATAACAGAAGCGAGAACCAGGAATCTTCTTACTTGAGGGTAAAGGACGGCCGGCGCATACGGCTGACAAACTCACCGCCATATATGAGCCGATCGTCTAGAAAAATATCGGAGCCTCGACGTCTCACAACCCATGGGCCTCTACAGCCTGTTACAGGGATAACATTACCTATTTATCTTTTACATATTTGGATATCTTGCCAGAACCTTTTGCTTAATTGTAGACAAAGATAACTAATGTGGCTTACACTCGTAATATGTATTATTTCAGTTCCACCCTGAAGATGGGTGCATTATTTTACTGCGATGCGTCAGGACGTTTTGATGCTTTGTCCTTTGTCTTTGGCTGTCGACGGCGTGATTATCTGTAAAGAAGTAGTTCTGTGCATGCTGTGTTGACTTAATGGAATGCACATGCGCAGAAAATAGCATGTCTCTAATTCTGCAAATATAGTGACTGGGAACGTTATATTTCACCTACTGTGGGGCTGAGGGTGCTTTATTATTTCTTTGTGATGTAGACTGTTACACAAGGGGAACTACGAGTATATTCTATAAGTCAGTTCAAATTTTGGCATTTGCAGATGATATTGATATAATTGGCAGAACACAAAAATCTATGAAAGAAGCTTTCCTTAATTTGGAAAGTGCAGCAAAAAAGATGAATCTACAAATTAACCAAAATAAAACAGTACATGCCGGTAAACAAGAAAGACTGTGCTAATGGACCTGCATATATTGAAATTGGCTCATAAATTTGTGGTGTTCTGTAGTTTTACGTGCCTTGGATCAGAAGTTAACTGTAAAAATGACATCAATGATGAAATAAAAAGCGTGTACTTGCGGCAGATAAATGTCTCCATGGCCCTAGGAAACACCTCAAATCCCAACTAATACCCAGGAAAACCAAAACTATGATGTATAAAGTACTTATAAGATCAGTGCTATCTTATGTCTCTGAGACCTGGCCACTGTCAAGATCGGATGAAAGACTGTTAAGTATATTTGAAAGGAGGATCCTGAGATATATCTTTGGACCAGTGGAAGAAAATGAAATATGGCGGAAGAGGTATAACCATGAGCTATACAAACTATTTAATGAACCAGACACTATTGGATTTATAAAGGTGAAAAGGCTTGAATGGGCTGGACACATAACACGTGCCAGCGAGAATAGCACTATTAAGAAAATACTTAATATTAAGCCAAGCGTCCTCCATAGTCTAGGGGTAACGTTCCCACCTCATGACTCAAGGTACGCAGGTTCAAACCCGGCGGAGGTCGTGGAAATTTTAAGGGCGGAAAAATTCAGGGAACAAGTCCTCCGGGGTCCCGTGTCGTAGCTTTACGGCACGTAAAAGAACCTCATGTCTCAAGGAGGCCTCTGAGTCAAGTTATAAAGGACATTTCCCGCCCAGCAATAGTCTCTAACGCCTCTGGTAGATGGGGGGAAGCATCTAGATACTGCTGAGCCAGTAGAGGCCGAACTCGCTGGCTGAGTCGGGACTGATGGCACGCACCAGTATCGGTAGGGTATAAAGACTGGTAGAATATCACAGGGGGACGTACAATAGACCACTGGTCGCGGTGCATGAGGAAACCCACCCCCTCCAAAAATAATAAAAATACTTAATACTAAGCCAGAAGGAAATAGGAAAGTGGGAAAACCAATATTGAGATGGGAAGAATGTGTGTGGCAGGACATAAGAATTTTGGGTGTAAAGAACTGGAGGAATGTAGCATCGAATGGAGAAGAATGGAGAGCAATCCTGAGGAA